TTTGGTCATAGCTGTTCAAGTTAACTGCTATGATGTTTTAGATCTTTGGTCATAGCTGTTCAAGTTAACTGCTATGATGTTTTAGATCTTTGGTCATAGCTGTTCAAGTTAACTGCTAAGAAGAACAGATACCCAAGTTTAATATTATATTGTTTGTTGGTTGAGTGATTAATATGTGACACTATTGTGCATTAGGTCCAAGGTCAAGTGAATTATCATTTTATCACTCCTTCATTATTAAACTTATTCATATCACAAAAACTACACAGTAAGTGTCACAAGAATCAAGATATCTTCTTTCCTTTATATATATGACCAAACTTGGGCAAGTTGTACAGTAGTACTCAAATTTCTAGTTGTGGCTAAAAAGTCAAGGTACCTTATAACTTTGCTAGTTGTGGCTAAAAGGTCAAGGAACCTTATAACTTTGCTTTATTGTTATTAATTTTCTAAGAACAGTAAGCCAAAGAGTGCAATTGTATATAAATATCAAGTCTATGGTACTGATGGTATTAATATTTTTGGTTATGTAATGCCTATCCTTCTCAGGATTTGAATCAAACTCAAAATATCCCAGGGTCTAAGAAAGGGTAAAGTCACTTTATATTTGTGTTTGTTTTGTTTTTTGACAAACTTAGTAAGTTATTATTGGAAATGTAATTTTATTAATGTTTTTTCATTTCATTTAGTTTGTCAACTGAGACATTTCTCCTCCTCTTGGTTTTTGACTATGTATTGCCTATGATTGTCATTATCATTGTATTAAACTGAAAATAACCCAACGGCTAAAAAATGCTTTGTTTATTCTTTCCTTGACCTCTTTACTCACTCCTCCACCTGCCTGTACAATTGATCCAAGATATTTAAATGCCTCAACTTTTTTTAACTCTTTGTCATCGAGGAGCACCTTGTCATTCTCTTTTACTTCCTTCCACAAAATTTTGCTACAGTATGTTTTATCATTGTCCCATTTATTTTCAAACCATATCTCTTTAGGCATTCTCCACACTTTTGTTCTCTCCACAAAGTACAACATCATCTGCAAATAAGATACACAATGGCACTTGTCTTTATATGGCTCTAGATATTGTGTCCAGCACCATTATAAAACGAAAAGGATTCAATGCTGATCTTTAACTCTTTATCTCAAGAGCAAAAATGGTGACAAGAAAATGGCCACAATTTCTTCATCAAGAAAAGTTTTGAGGAAATCCAGTAGTAAATGGCTTTTATTTAAATTCAACTTGACGTTTCATTGTAGCTCAAAGAATGAAAAGTTCACGTCAGTCTCTCCTTCTTCAACTACACGTTTCATTTTAGCTCAAAGAATGAAAAGTTCACGTCAGTCTCTCCTTCTTCAACTACCCTCCATGGAACTTCATCTTCACCATTTTCACTGTTCGCCTCCTGCTCTTACAACTGTTCTCTTCCTCTTCTTTGGTCTAGATCCAGACCCCTACTTTTCTTTTTCTCATAGTAGCACCACCTTTCTTTCCCTTGCCTTTACCTGTACTCACACCTGAAGAGCCCGCCACAGGAATCTCCTCTCTCTCACTTTCACGAAATTATCCAAGTCCAATTTCTCACTTTCAAAATCATCATCATCAACATCACTGTGAATAAAGTCATTTTTCTGGCTCAGAAATTCCTCAAATAACTTCCTAACTTGCTCAGAAGTAAAACAACAAGGCCTACCAGAAGTAGTGGACATGGTCACTTTCTTTGTTTCAGAATAGGGATTCAAAACACTCATGTAAATTGCTGAAAACATGTCTTTCTTCTATCAAATTGGTGCTCAGATTGAAGATATTTCATTATTGGAAGTAGTTCTAGTTTTATATTGAATATATAAGGCATTCAATATGTAGGATTGATCATGAAACGGAACAAGACCTACAAGCCGATATATCGGCAGCTCGTCCAAGTAGGAAAACGAGCTCACCGATATATTGGAGTTAATGGACCCCCACATTCACTGGAAATCTTTCTGAAGCTCCTACTACACTTCTTATAAATGTTTCCACTCCTTCATACATATCTTGGATCAATCTCACATACAGCTTTGGTACCTTCCTTTTTCTTAAGTACCACTGTATCAGCTCTCTTATAAGTTTCTTATAGAATGATGAATAAAATATACAAGTCTTTTCTTTTTTTCCTGAAACTTCTCTGTCAACCCTCTTATTATGAATATGGCAGCTGACCTGCCAAGCATAGACCCAAACTGTACCTATTTCTATCACTGTTCTCAGTCTCTTATTCACAACCCTTTCCTAAAGCATCATTGTGTGACACGACAACCTTATACCTTGATAATTGCTGCAGTCTTGCACATTGCTCTACTTTTTGAATATTGGTACAAGGATACTCTCCCTCCAGGCAACTTGTATCTTCCCTTCTATCACTGTAACATTGAAAAGCCTGCACAGCATCTGGAATCAAAACTTTCCTAGCTCCATAAGTGCTTCAGTAGGTATGTCATCTGGTCCTACTGCTTTCCCATTTTTCATTTTCCTCAATTCTCTCACTACTTCCTCCACTTTCACATGTTCCACCATTCTCTGGGTTTTTATACTTTTCCCTGGTTTCTCCTACTTATTATGTTTGTTTAATAGGTGTTTGAAGTATGCTCCCCATCTTTTTTTTGAAGTATGTGTTTGAAGTATGCTCCCCATCTTTTTTTTGATACTATCACATTTGCACTCACCTTGCCATTATTGTCCTTAATAACCTTCACCCTTATCCCCTGCTCTCCTTTCCCTGGCTTTTCCTAGTTTGTGTAATATTTTCTTTCCATTTCTTCCACCAGCTTCTCTGTATATCCCTCTGTTTGGCAATAGTCACTGCCTTCTTTGTCTCTTTCACTATTATGTATGCCTACAGTTCCTCCTTATCATTTGTTCACTGCTTCCTCTTAAATTTTACTTTCTTCTCCTTCATGCTCATCTACACTTTCTTATTCCATCAGCATGTGCCTCTTTCTGGATACAGTTTCCTCCTTTGATCTTTCCCACAACTTGGGTTGCCTTATCTATTACGCATTTTGACAATCTACCCCATATCCCATTCAATCTTCCTACACTCCATCACCTTCTGGTCAAATAACTCATTTGACGTGTCTGGTTCTCTCAGCCTCCACCACCTTATTTTGCAGATACACTGTTTTACCACTATCCTTCCCATTTCATAATCCATCACAAAAAGCCTGTACCATGGTATGAGACTTTATACAGTATAACTTTAGATTATTTCACTCTTTTTCATTTCCTCTCTCCTAACCAAGAGGTAATCTGTTTGACTCCTAACATTTCCACTTTTGTATGTTGTTTTTCTGGAAAAATGTATTGACTATAATTAGGTCATGTGCCTGAACCATCTGCAAGATCTCCTTGTCTTCCTTATTTCTTTGTCCATAGCCGTGTTCTCCATGCCTCTTCTCATAGCCACCTCTATACTGTCCAATATGTCCATTTAGATTAATCTTCATTGCAACTAACTCTTCTCTATGTATGCTCTGCATAGCCTTGTCCAGAACTTCTCTAAACTCTTCTTTTTCCTTATAACTGCATCTCATTTGCAGAGCATAGGCACATATTACATTCAGCATGCCACATTCTGTTCCTAGCTTCACCACCATCACTCTGTCACTCAATCTTTTCACTTCCACCATCTTCTCTTTCATTTCTATACTCAATACAACTGCTACCCCATTTCTTTTCTTTGTCGCCCCATGAAAGTAGAGTTTGTACCCTCCAATTTCCTATGCCTTGCTTCCATTCCATCTTGTCTCATGTATGCATACTATATGAAATATTCTCCTCTTTAGGACATCTGCAAGCTCTGAACTCCTTCCTGTCACCACTTCTACATTCCAACTGTTTTTTTTTATTTTCTTTATCTACATCAATTGTGTCTGCCCTAGTCCACTTTTCACAGTGCTAAGGCAATGACACTACATGTTACTTCTGGGGAACACCATAGCTCTGTGATCATTTTGGACTACTCTTCATAATTTGGCAAGATTTCAGTTTTTTTTTTAAGACTTGACACCAACCCCTCCTCCATTTGTAACTGAGCTTGGGACCAGCTTTGATGGAATTTGTTATCCACTATTTAATGGAAGCCATAATAAAGGAAATCACGATTTTTTGTAATGTGGGTAGTGGGTGTAGTGATAATATAAGGATCATTGTTTAAATATTAATTCTAGTTGAAAGTTTTCAAACAAATGCTACAGAATATTTCCCTTTTTTTTAAGTGTTTTACCTCTTTCACATAGTTCATTAATTCCAACTCTAACAACTCTTACTGTAAAATAGGCAAAATGTTGGTATCTAGTTTATAACTTTTGTACACAGTTTTATGTAGTATGTGATTTGTTATCCCTTGTGATGAATAATTAGTAGTACCAGTAATAGATTAAAACATGTTTTATTAGGAAGTACAACTCTTCAAGATTCTGGTCAAGCTGTTCACCAACATTGGCACTTTGAAGCTGAAGCCACCACCAAGTGATAATTATTGCTATCATAGAGATAAGCCACATTTTACATAAATAAATAAATGTAGAAAATTTATGGATTTAAATATTAAGGTGTTTGTAGTTATACCAAAACTTCTAAAATAATGAATTAATCTAGCCCTTTTGAGCAAACATCAGCACTGCAAATGGCAACATCATGATCCACGAAGCTGTCCTTTTTTTACCATGACTAAGAAATGTTTTCATGTTCACAATGAAGATTTTATATACAAAACTTCTGTATGTATAATTTTGTTATTGTTTTTCAATAGTAATACAGAGCCTTACAAGCTTTTGGAATTGTTTAAAAGTGTGTACTTAGGTATTTTTTCATAAATAACATTATGTTTTATACTACATAAAAAAACCTATCTTTTTTGAGTTTGCAACATTGAACACAAATGTTTAAAGCTAGGAAAATTATCATTGATTCTCTGGCATCTATAATGTATGCAACAAAGATAGAGGAATGATAATGTGGATACATATTTTAAGTTGATCTTAATGATATTGCAGTGTTTCACCAAGAGCTAAGTTATTTCCAATATCATATTCAAGCATGTAACAAAGGACAGAATAACTATTAATCACATTATTAATGGTACATGAGAATTGTTAAATGGCAAGTCTTGGTAATTCTTAGGATCAAGGAAATGTATATAGTGCTCTTTGTTTATAGGAGTTTTAAAAGTGTATTTATCATTATGGGTTTCAAATAAAACTGTAAGCTAAACACAAAAATTCAAACTTATAATTTTATATTTTTGTTTTTGCAGGACAGTTTGCAAGACAATAAAATATAAATTATTCCTCAATACCTACAAACCAAAAAACATACACAAGTTAAAAATTATGTATTCACTTCCAATCAGATCAAACTATGTACTTAAAGTGAAATTAAAAATTAATTTAGCACTCAGTATAACTAAATATATGAAAAAAAACATGCACATCATTTCCTCTGAAAATGTAACTTTTCTTCTTTTTGTGAGTTATGCACGATCCTATTTATTGTGAACATTGAACATTTATATGATTACATTAATTTCCAGTATTATCTTGTTATTGCAAAAATATTTCTAAAGAATTTGCATTTTTTGTATGATTTTTACTTACTAAAAGTAAAACTTTATAAACTAAGTTAATGATGTAGTAACTAGTATATTTACCAGTTTAATTCATTGAGTTTTACCTCCAGTTTTAAAAATATAATACTACATCTTAGTCTAATCTAGTTCATCTTGTTTTACAACTTGACATATGTAAATTGTTATTAAAAGAACGTTTGAAACAAAAGGTGCTTATATCTGTCAAAGAAGCTTGTGCACAATAAGGTTTTTAATTTTGGAATTCATATTTAATTTAACAGGATATACTTTCTGGAAAAGTTAAACAGTACTCAAATAGATGTTGAATTTACTTGTTGCAGTTAGCAGTCCAGTACCTACCATATAACAGTTGATGTAATGTTGGAAATCTCACTTTTACATATTAAGATACAACAAAATATTTATTGTACACATTCTACAAAGGTACACTGATATTGTGACTTAATTAATGAAGTTTTAGTGGGAAAGAGTACTTTCTTAAGAACCCTTTTTTACATTGCTTCCTTTGTAAGCAAACTAAATATTGTACCCAAATTGCATTCTGTTACATCAATGAAAATATAAAATGAAGAGTCAAGTACTACTGTGTGTAGAGTTTATTTGTCTTCAATAAGTGTATAAATGTCTATAAACAGAATTTACATAATTATATGTAAAGTCATATGTAGTATTGCAAAGAAAAGAGGTTTCTAATTAATGGTAATAGTCATGTAATTTGCCATAATTATTTGAGACAAGTAATTCTCTGCATATGTTTAAAATGTGGACTTTATATAATTAACTAAGACAAGTAGTTCTCTGTATATGTTTAAAATTTGGACTTGATATAATTAACTAAGACAAGTAGTTCTCTGTATATGTTTAAAATGTGGACTTGATATAATTAACTGAAACAAGTAGTTCTCTGTATATGTTTAAAATGTAGACTTGATATAATTAACTAAGACAAGTAGTTCTCTGTATATGTTTAAAATTTGGACTTGATATAATTAACTAAGACAAGTAGTTCTCTGTCTATGTTTAAAATGTGGACTTGATATAATTAACTAAGACAAGTAGTTCTCTGTATATGTTTAAAATTTGGACTTGATATAATTAACTAAGACAAGTAGTTCTCTGTATATGTTTAAAATTTGGACTTGATATAATTAACTAAGACAAGTAGT